AAAAATATTGCTTTATTTTTATATATATATATATACCGCTACTCGAGTGGCTGCGTTTGAAGTGGAGCCATGTGTTCGTTTTGGCTTGCTCGGGAGTGCCAGGGGCAGATGGGGGGGTACCTGCGTGCCGTCTCCGTGCCCCCCCCCCACCCCACCGTTGACCGTGGTTGCACATCGCCACAAACGGCGGACTCTTCTTTCTGCCATCGTTGGCTTCCCTCTTGTGTATTGTACAACATCCGTGGGTGTACTCTATGTAGCAACAAATACATACAAGCTACAGCTCGGTGACGGTCCGCTGCTGGATGAACGTCCCTCCCCTCCGGCCGTGTCGGTCATGGGTGTGTTGTCTGTTCATACTTTGCCGCGCTGGTCAGGTTTGGTTTGTGAGGTGGGGAGACCCAGGAAGCTGGTTTAGAGATCGCTTGCCACTGATGTTAGCCATAGCGAGGTTCCACAGCACAGTGTGCGAACCACTGCCCATCATTGCTTTTACTGCTTCATCAGTAAAAGCAATGACCTGCCTTGCTATTTGCCCAGTACAATAATGTCCGTGTGAGTTTTAACTAAGTTTATCGATTCGCCCCATAGGCCGGTGGTGTTGAAAGAAGTTTTTTTTCTTTAAATAATTTGACCGCTCCTCATGGAAGACCGCTGTCTCTGCTGAAGACACGCGCGCAGTATATGCAGCGCAGCAATTTGAATATAAGCTGCAATCGAACACTTGAAATGCTCAGCACGTACAACAGGAGGATGCCGTGCTATGGCAGGCATTTACTGCTCGTGAGATGAGCAGCCCACTTTGTAGCCCATCAATGGGGATGGCTCGCGGTTGCCCTGCAGCGCTGTGCCGACACGAGAGCCGTGAGGTCAGCAGCCGTCGCGGCGAGGAGACAGACCAGTTGGTGGCTCCGGTGCAATCACCATGGGCAGGGCGTGCACTTCAGCTGAACTCGCTCTGATAAAACGGAATCTCCCCCTTGCTCTCACCTTCGAGTAATTGTGCGGTGCTCATTGAGATCGTAAGCGCTTGAGCCAGCGGTTAACCTCTGTAAATGATGCATCTAGGATCAATCCATTATTAGCTCCTACGATGTTGGTTTCAAACCGAGATGTGCTGACGAAGTGGCGTGTACATCGCGCCAATTCTGTAGGGATGACCATCATGCATTTTTTATTGATTTAGAGCTTTCCATTTGCCAAGCAAATCTCGGAGCGCTCACCCGCAGAGATTCACTCAGGCACGATGGATCATACGTGCAACAGCAGGCACGAGCAACTCCGTCAGTCAAGGACATTGTCTCTGGGAGGTTTCGGCTAATTTAATACGTATTACGTGATGACATTAACGTTACACGATGTCCCCGACTTGGACGTGAACCCAAGATCTTAGGATTCCGCGTCTGCAACTGTACTCGGCCATTTCAGTGGTTAAACATTACAACGAAAGTGGGGAAATACTGAGCAGTGCTAAAGCGAAGGAGGGGTTTGCTCTCTCTCAAGGGCTGTCAAGGTGATTGCTGCGTGCCGGGCGAGGATACGAACACGGGGTTTGCTTCTTACACATGCCATTTGATGCAGTGTAACCATTACGCTCCTTGTTGAGCAGAGAGGCTTTTAGTCTGAACGTTGGCATAATTTCGCAATAACCACTCATAGGGGACCCATTGAGAATTGACGTGTTTTGTGCGAGGGGAGCCCGTAGGGACAGTGTTTTAACAGCTTTTATAATGATATCATTTTGCGGGTGGGTTTCAAAACGAGATTTTGGCGGTGACGACGGGACGCAATGCATTACTCGCGCGAGAATGGCTGAACGGGGGGTCGTGAAGGTGCTCCTCGCGAGCGGACGAGGACGTCTGGCTCGTAGAAACGCCGCCGCGGGTATCGCGCGGCGCCCGGCGGCCGTGCGAATCGGTCGGCTGGTAAATGCCGTCCACTGCGAGTGCTGCCGAGCCTTGCGGAAACATTCTGCATATCCCCCGCCAAAAAATAGCCCGCAGGTATTCCACCGATCGTTCACAATGCTAAAAATAGCCCAACATTATCTCATGCCCTACATATCTGCTCAAGCATTTCCCCTCCACCATCGCACGTAACTCGGAATTCTCGTGAGCCTCGTTGTGGAGAATATAAACAGAAACATTTATAAGCAGACAATGTCTTTTTTCACGTATAATCCATCTGCACATCATGAAATATATATTCATACGAGTAAGTACAGTGCACGGCTGTCTGGGGATGTGTTTGTGTATGGGAGCAGTGATGAAGTGGTTAATTCACTGCCACCACCAGTGACGATTATATCAACCAGTCCTGGGGCCTTCCCCTCGGTCGACTCAAATGAGTACCTGGTGCGGTGTGTAAACATCACCACTCAGGAGACAAAGGCGGCCAGGCGTGGTGCTGGCCACCCACCCTCTCGTGTGCCGTGCCGGCCTTCACAGGTGCTCGCTTAACGGCACTTGCCCCAAAAGCCTGTTAAGGTTACACGTAATGTGTCCAAATGAAAGCAATATTGATTTCAGATAAACACATATTCTTAATTTGTAGCGGTCGGAATGCATTTTTTCTGTTTAATTTGTCTTGTTGCAGTCTGTTTATGTTCACGATAAATTGGATGTGGAGCAAACCACAAATAGCAGCTGGGTAGTGCTGTAATTGGGAAAATGTGCGGTGTCTGAGCACAATAACCCGGCGAACAGCCCTTCCCCTCATTAATTGGCAATCAATCACAGTACAGGCATGGCTTGCTGCTGTTAATTGTTTGGCCGCAATAATTTCACAGTCCCAAGATGCTAAAGCTAATGATTTGAGTAATGAATGAGAAGACGACCTCCTGGAATGCCCGAAGATACGAGTAAGAAATGAATAGGTTGGGCATTGTGCTTGCTGCCCTATCAAGGAACAAGCCCGCCACTGTGGACGTCCCTCCACTTCTCTAGGAAGTGCATGTGAAACGATCACCACAGCTTGGCCCTGAGTCTCTGTCGCCAATAACTCCAGCTTCATTTGCCTGAGGCAGTTCATGGCCATCCGCAGTCTGTTAAACACTCGTATCGGTCCTGAATATATTCGAAATTAAAATAAAGGCCATAATATTTCCAGCTTCAATAAAATCGCGACCACCCTGTGAGGAGTTCAGAGTGGTTGTCCTATGGATGGACTGACCCCTGCCATAGAAATGTGGAATGCCCACCAGTGAGAACGTGGTCCGTGCCCCACGCTCGTGTGAGCAGGGAGGGTCCTGACTTGGCTCACTTGATAGTTCAAGCGTTGTCCAGGCTGGTCGCTGTCATGTGAACAGCACGTCACATTGACAACACTACACGGCTGTTTCTCACAAACCATCAGAACTAGCTATAAAGCAGCCCTTGTGGGTGCGATCGATTACGGTGGTGGTTGTGTGTGGGAGAAGCTATAGGCGTTACTGTTAATGAAAAACGAGGCCGATTGAGCAGACCGTGATGTCATGGAACGAATACCGAGCGTGACACAAAGCAGCGACAGTGGCAACCAGCAGGGCAATCATGGCATGAGGGGGACAACTTACGCAGAGGTGGGGGTCATACAATCATAGCGTGAATATAGACTCCGTTTGGCCTTAGCTGCAAGGACATCTTGCAATGAGAATGAGCATGGCTGCTGCTGATCATGATGATCATGATGATCATAATGATCATGATGATGGTACCCGGGCCAGAGTTTGAGTTGACAACAGCCATTCCCACAGTTGATCAGCGTTATTAACAGCGCGCAGTTGTGTGTCGAGAAAGGCAGCCTGCAAGACCTGACGCCATCGGTTATGAGGTATAGGCTATCAAGTGCCAGTGTCGTATCCCAAATGTCATATTTGAAATTACTTGCCACTAAATGGTGGAAAAAGAATAGCGGTCCATGCGTAACTGTAGTTACAAAAGTCTCCCTGGCAGGAGATAATGGATGTGGCCCTCGCCTGATTAAATAACTGCGAGTTAAATAATTTTAATGTGGGGCTCATGCCTGATGAAATTATACCTGGCCGATAAATCTCAATGAGCAATCACCTGATTAAATAACACCAAAGTGAGGAGCGGTGGCACAGTGGTAAGCACGCTGGGCTTTTCAACCGGTGACCTACGTTTGATGGCCCCAACATGGCGAACACGAGTGATAAGTGTGAGAAATTAGAGGGCACCGAAGTGGCTATGTTAATGTGAGAGATTAGCACGATGTTAATGTGAGAGATTAGCATGTAACTGTAGAAGATAAGGAGAAGAAGAGCGGCCTCGTCGACGAGGGAGTGCAACCCAACGGGTTTAATTTCTCACATTAACATCATGCCAATCTCTCACATTAACATGGCCACTTCCGGTGCCCTCGTCGAGGAGGCCGCTCTCCTATCTCACAGTTACATGCTAATTTCTCACAATAACATCACTAGCCCCGGCCACTTCCTTATGACCCTTGAGCTACACCCATTTCAAACCTTATAAAGCAGTCTGCCTCAGCAGCAGAGCATGCTTTCCCACCTGATGACTGGACGCTTGTGTTGCGCCCGAAACGTCGTGATTTATTTTAATTTCTACCTACGTGACTTTACCGAAAGAATCAAAGAGAATGGATCCCTGCAGTCACGAAAGCTTCAAATCTAGATTGAGTGGTAAGTGATATATGAGAATCGGTCCTGGAATCCACGCAACCCCCACCGCCACCAACCTGCACACACGAGTGAAGTATGGTTAGTAAAACCCATGACTGACACAGAGTGGGGGAGGTATTCATCCAGCAGTAGACTGGCAACAGGATGGAAATATACTTTGTGCTTCGTTTAACAATGTTAGGAGCCACCCGCCTAGACAAAACAACATTTGTATGCTCGATTTTAATGGGCTCTTAACAGGGAACTTTCTTCTGAATCTCAGCGGACTGTTGCCTTGGCTGTGTGTAATTGCCTGCATGGGTAGCCTGGGGCGGGGGGGCACTGCCGGAGCTGTGTGTGCTGGTTGCTGTGCCTGCAGATGGAGCAGCTGCGTGGGGAGCTCATGCAGGAGAAGGCGGTGCGGCAGGATCTGGAGTGCGACAAGATTTCCCTGGAGCGGCAGGTGATTCCCGGCCCCCCTCGGACATGGCCACCTCCCCTCAGGCACCTGACCCCACTGTCAAGCTCCCACCCACACGTCCTGGTCTCCTCTATCATGACCTCTGCGCCAAGCTCTTGCATCCGTAATCATTTGCGTTTGTCCCTCGATTTCTACCCGTGATTTCCATGACTCCCTCTACGCTCATGCATCCAGATTGCACCGTCCTAGCCCCTTCACGTTGGCTCCACGCCCTCTGTGTGCAGGCAAGTGTGCTAGCAAGTGCTTCGTCTCGCCCTGACTCTCTCTGCTTGCGTCCGTCCGTATGTGCGTACCCGCCTGTGTTCCCTGCCCGTGCCTGAACGAACGAACGCACGCCTGCGCACGTGTAGATCAAGGAGATGCGTGGCCGCGTGTCGGACCTGGAGGGCTCCCAGCGCTGGGGTCGCGAAGGCCTTGCGACCCAGATGGAGGCGCGCGTGCGCGAGCTGGAGGAGGCCCTGGAGAGGGAGGAGAGGTAAGTTGCACACCGCACAAAACGTACCGATCGCTGCACGGAGAGAGGCTTGTAATGCAGACGGGAATAGGGTTGAACATTGAACTATATTCGTTGTGTGGTTCGGCCAAGTGGTGGTTTTATGCCAAAATTCTTGTTGTTCCCTCGACCACCCGAACAAATTGTCACGTTCGCAAAGTTATCATTTACACGTGCCAATTTATTGATCACATTCTGACCGATGCATCTGCTCACCAGTGGCCTAAGACTTTCCATGACTTAACTTAAGATCCACATTGGACGTTTCACTCAAACTGCTTTCATCTCTTATCAGGTAGTGAAATGGGGAATCGAGCTTGGAAAGCTAAGTTAGAATGAACATTGTGTACACACATGATACAGGTTATTTTTATTGGGTTATATCGTGTAAATATAAATGTGTCGTTAACCTGCCACCACCCGACACAGCCAGATTTCTGGCTGTCGCCTGATGATGCTAGTGGTAATTAGTTGCGAAACATCCTACCCAGATTGTAAATGTCTGGATTTATTCTCCAACACAAGGGTGTGCTGTACTAGTAACGAATTGGCACGTTCTGTTTTCGTAACAAACCTTACTAATTGGCTGTGTTGGGTAGTTGCGGGTTTAACGACACATTTATATTTACTCGATCTAACCCAAAGAACCTGTATTATGGATAACACTCGTCGCGAAAGCCAACGTGTTAAGCGGTATACACACATTAATTCTAGATTTGAAGCTTTCGTGACTGCAAGGATTCATATTCTTAGGTTTTTTCGGTAAAGTCACGTAGGTAAAAAATTAAAATTAATAAAAGTAAAATAAAATATAAATCACGACGTTTCGGAGGCAACACAAGCTTCCGTCTTCAGGTGGAACCGTCACAGCCACGAGAGCTGTATCAAGTAAATGAGAGATTACAAGAGCTACCACTCCGTATATATAATGGTTGAAGAGGGGAAGGGCCAAGTACGACACACTTTTTATTAATATGGTAAGGTCAGGCTTGAGACTAAGAATAGACTGCATAACAAAAGACTGAGCCTTTGTTATGGAGAGGTGCGGTTTGTGACTACGCCTCGCCTACATGTAGGCTAGGCGTAGTCACAATAAAAAGTGTGCCGTACTTGGCCCTTCCCCTCTTCAACCATTATATATACGGAGTGGTATCTCTTGTAATCTCTCATTTACTTGATACAGCTGTCGTGGCTGTGACGGTTCCACCTGAAGACGGAAGCTTGTGTTGCGAAACGTCGTGATTTTTTATTTTATTTTACTTTTATTAATTTTGATTTTTTACCTACGTGACTTTACCGAAAAAACCTAAGAATATGGTATACACACAGTTGCTCAGGTCATGTGGACTGTGTGCTAGTATATTTAGTGCTGCTATTACCATGACAACATTCCTATTTACACACACACACACACACGTGTGCTGGTGTGTTATCATCGCTGACAGGGTGCTATTCTCATTGGTCGTGTAGAGCGTGTTGGTTGAGCCATCCCCAGCGGCGGTTTTCCCTAACACGTACGCCTTGCCCCCCTTGGCGCGCACCAGCGAGCGCGCCAACGCGCAGGCCAACTCGCGCAAGCTGGAGAAGAGGCTGAAGGAGCTGCTCATGCAGGTGGAGGAGGAGCACCAGCAGGCGGACAACCAGAAGGAAGAGGCAAGGGACCGTGGCTGAGTGTGTGGGTGTGTGTCCTGTGCGCCTCAAGGTGCGGTAGTGTAGCGGTTAGCGCGCTGCGCTATGAACCTGGCGACCCGGGTTCGATTCCCGCTCACGGCTAACACCAGTGACGATTATCTGAACCGGTCCTGGGCCTCCCCTAGGTCGACTCAGCCTTAAATGAGTACCTGGTGTGGTGTGTAAACATCGCCACTGGGGAGACAAAGGCGGTCGGGCGTGGTGCTGGCCACCCACCCCCTCGTGTACCTTTCCGGCCTTCATAGGTGCTCGCTAACAGCACTTGCCCCTACAGTCTGTTAAGGCTATACGGGGGGTCTTTGTCTTGGCCTCAAGGTGCACATGGCCTGGCACAAGCGTCGTGGTGACTTCACCGCCACTTAGTGGCGAATGGCGGTTGTTGTTGTGCGTGCATGCGCGTGTCTGGAGCATCAATGGGTAAGAGTAAAAGATTGCGTAACTAAATTTCTCTCAGTCATTTATGAAAATGGGGATTTGTGATGATATCCATTGTCTGGTGACTTGTAATGATCCGCATACAAGAGGGATTTAATAGAATATTTCTGTCATCACAGCTGCGATGCTTGAGGCCCGTGCTGATGTCACACGGACCACGGATCGCCCCCCAGACTGTGACAGGCTTTGGCCTGACGGAATGAGGGGCTACGCGAGCGTAAAATCGATTATTTTAATTCGCTTATCGGCTTTCGCAGCCACGCAATCCCTAGGAGGGCAGGAAGTGGTGGGTGGGGGGGGGGTGTTGCACAGACCGTGGGGGGGCGGGGAGCAAGGGGTGGAGTTGGGGGGGGTTCCTGTGAAGGAGAGAAAGACGGGGGGGGGGGAGTAGCGATCCTGCAATGGCCTCGAGAAATGTCCACTCCTCTGTTGGTGAAAAGAGTTGGGTACAACATTTCGTGAGGAGTTTTCGTGGACTTTTGAGTGTCCGTTGTGGGCATCTGAGAGCTCTGCGATCTTTAAATGGCCCCGCGTTGTCTCTCACCAACGAAGTCCCACACCGTATTGTCTCCGCCTTTCCGACGATTAAACGTCATGGCACCGATTAAGTTACGGATCATTTTCAGTTTTTTTGAGAGATTGATTAACGATCGCATCGATATGGTATTCAGCTTGTATAGTTACCACAGTATTTTATTTATGAAATCCATTACATTTGTTTCAGTTTATATTTCCTTTCTGTTTAAACACAATTCAATCGTCTTTCTGCATTGCGTCCTTTTTAATGTAATGTTTTCCCTCCGTTATCTTGACTCGCTTCTCACGTTACAGAAACGTGCGCTTTCCTCAGGTCCACATCGTAGAGGTGCCACCTTGTCTCAGTGGGCTCTCACACAGGCTTGGAGGCTTCGTTATAATCATCATCATCATCAGCTGTGTTCCGACAATGACGGCTGAATCGATAGTCACTGCATGAAGTGAGGGTTATAGAGCAAAGTAATGGGCTCCCCTGGGTTACACAGCACTGTGATGCAGTGTGTGTGCTCTTCATGCTACACTGTGATGCTCTGCTGTGTTGTAATGTTGTGTTTTCTGCGATTGCTGTTCCATGATGCTGTGCTGTCCGTGCTGTGAACCTGAGGTTTGATCTACTGTTTTGTGATGCTGTGATTGCTGTGCAAGCTGTAGGGATAAACCCAGCAGCACGTTTTCAGCTGTATAAGCAGTCGCAGTGATGCGTGACGAGTATGTGCTCCGTAAGCTTGGGTTGAGGTGTAGAATTCGACATTGAACAATCGCCTAATCAATATAAAATACAATCTTAAGCCTGCCATCTATATATCAAATTGTACGTGCAATAAGTGCTTACTTTAAATTAATAATGTTCTGTGTATTGTGTGTTGAGAGACGGATGGGTGGGATTGTCTCCTGTGCAGTCTAAGCATCACAAAACTGCGGCGTTGTGCCTTTGTTAGGAGACCTTCATCCCCCAGTGGATAGATCAGGAATGGGTAACGGTCGAATTCAACTCAGCAGGTTCAGAGAAACCTTGCAAAGCACCAGATTCTGCACCCAAGATGTTCACAGTAAAACAATAGATTCATTGAGCGAACCCTTCGGCGCCGGTCGCTGTGGTGGGGGCAACGTGGCGTGAACGTTATGTGCCGGCTGTGTAGATGTGTGCGCTCGGTAGCATCAGTCAGTGTTCTGTCCTGTTTATGGCGTAGAGCTAACTTTCCTATAATTCGGACACAGTGGAATAATTTGTGTTGGAGGTACGTCCACCTCGGCTGTGCTTTGTACTTATTACAGGAAGGTATTTGTCTCCTCCAGGAGGTGGTGTTGTTGTCATGCATCTTGCCTCCTGCCAGGAGGTGGTGTTGTCACGTGTCTTGTGCACGTTGGCCTGGTGTCTCAGTGGCAGAGCGAGTTTCAGTTTTTCAGTTTCATGTATTAGGTATAACCCTGTGAGCCATGCGGCTCTTGACTCGGGTGCAACCGCAACAAACAAAAACATGAACAAGAAACATCTTAAAGTGACTACACGCAACAGAAAAATCCTGGAAAAAACAGCAAAGTCTTCCAGATAAAACACCGCATTTCAACGCTGCGTGCAAAAATCCCAGTGGGATGCAAGTCAAACAATAACAACCATAAGACAATGTAGATTAAAGTTATCAGGCCAACTCTGTACTGCAACAAACAAACGTGGCCAGACCAAACCGTCCTCAAAATCACCAAAATAAAGCCACAAAAACAATGTAACAGTGATCAGTAGGAACTGTGGCTCACAATCAGAGGGGAATTGACTCAACCCACAATCTCTCTGGGGTTGACAAAATTAGTACGCTGTGTGGGGAATTCAACTAGTAGTCGCTCTTTGAAATGTACTCGCCCCTGTCACAGGAATGTGGAATTTCCACTCCTGGCTCCCGCCTGTAAACAGGAGATGAGCATTTGAACAGGAAATCAATTGACTTGAAAACTGTTTGCCTTTTGCCGTTCCACAGTCTATCACTGATGAGACACGGCCATAAAGAAAGCTGTCTCTGGTTTATGCCAATAAGTTTCAAATACAATGCCATATATTATCAGAGCATGTTTGTGTGTTTTACTTCAAGTAAGTGTGGTTAATGCAACCTTGATTTCTTGCCATGGTGTTTGAACATCTTGACACCTGTGTTATTGCCAGAAAGGGTAAAGCCTATTCTTGTTTCATCATTTTGTTACTGCCAAAAAAGGTCCCCATAGGTACACCACTTGAGCATTGAAAAAAAGTGGAGAATCTAATATGTGGATTGGTAAATGTGGAGAGACGAACGTGTGAATCGTTGCTTTACGAGGCTTGCCGTGTGGTCGTGTTGCCGTGTGGTCGTGTTGCCGTGTGGTCGTGTTGCCGTGTGGCCCTGTGCATTACAGAGCTTGTTGGTGCGATAGATTTTCCGTTGTGTTTGACTCCTGCGTAAATGTGAAACAAAGACTGCGAGTTGCTTGTTTGAACTGCTTGACATTCTTTCACGGTGTGTTTGATGTTTTGTTACATAAGAGTATTGTATGTCTGTGTTTTTGACAGCGTGTGAATGAGGGTGTGCATGGGCCCAAGTTATTATTCAGCGCGTGTTGTTGCTGTGATGCACGTTCTAGTTTAATGCGTGTCTGTGTGTGAAAGAGAAATGTCATCATTTTGCATTTGCGTCAGGCGATTAATTGCTTTGTGTGTGTGCATATTTGTGTGATGGTGTGTTTCCATACGACTGTGCGCGTCCGTTCGTGCTCACGGCACGTGCAACAACGGTGAGGCCGCGATGGGAGTGTTTGTCTCCGTGTCGCTGCGTAGGGCCGTGCGCGAGTGCGTGTGGTAGAGCGCCCGTGATTAACGGAGCGGCACCCTGCGTGCGTGCCCCCAGATGTCCTTGCGCATCAAGGCTTTGAAGCGGCAGGTGAACGAGGCGGAGGAGGAGATCGATCGCCTGGACGGGCAACGGCGCAAGGTGCAACGGGAGCTGGAGGAGCAGCTGGAGCTGAACGAGGGCACTCGCGCCGAGCTCAACACCCTACGCAAAGAGATGAGGTCCGCACATCCACGGGTCAACACCCCCCCCGCTACTCACGTTCACCGCACGCTGGCCGACATTGACTGGAGGGGGGTGGGTGTCTTGGTAATGTTGACCCGGCAGGCTTTACAAGAAACTGTAAACCCCCACAGCCATGTAAGAGCACTGGGCCGGCAAGTAACTGTTGCTTGGGTTTTCTCTCGCCACTTTGGTTTAGTGGATAGACACCAGAGGTCGCAAACGGGTTTTGATTCCTTACCCCCCGTACCCGTACCGGGCCGCACCAGGGTCGCAAACGGGTACCCGATACCCGTACCCTACCCGATACCGGGCTACCCGTACCCGGCCGGGTATCGGGTAGGGTACGGGTACCCGATTGCGACCTCTGGGATGAAGCCATGTTGCAGGCGCGGGTGGGTTGATTCTAGGAACTTGAATTGTGAGAAGAGACAAGACGTTGGGAAATGAGTGACAAACGGTTACTCACCAGTGACTCACGGCCTACCCGTACCCGGCCGCACCAGGGTCGCAAACGGGTACCCGTACCTGTACCCGGGTATCGGGTAGGGTACGGGTATCGGGTAGGGTACGGGTATCGGGTACCCGATTGCGACCTCTGATAGACACCCTAAAGCGTTGGCTGGGTGAAGGCTCCCTGCACGCCCACTACATGGTGCCGGTTTTACGCGAGTTGTTTGACCGTACCCCACCGCGATGATCTGCGTGGGTTGGCCAAGGAAGAGGCCCAGCACCGGTTCGTATCGCGCGCAGGCTGATGTCAGCCGTGGCAGGCAATGCAACTCGGGTTGCCGGGGGTTCATCGCGCAGTGCACCAACCACTGCGTTAATCTTTGGGCTCCCAGCTGAGACGAACCCAATTTCAAGTTTGTTGGTGAAATGAGCTGAGCCCCGTCAGCAGTGAGAGGCCAGGTTTTTGGAGTCCTTTTGTAAAAAAGGCGTGAAAAGAAGTGTTTGCGCTCGGTAGCATTCGTTTGTAAAGTCACGAGCACATTTTATCCGTTTCATAATCCACATCACAGTGCGCCCGTGTAACCTGACGCTCGGTGCAGCAGGCGGCATTCCTCCTCCGCACGCTGCGATCGTCCGACTTTGCCACAATGCCTGTGCCCACAACGCCTGTGGTGGTGGTGGTGTTGTTGTTGTGCGTGCCTGCAATTCCCGCACGGCTCGGCGAAGTTTTGATGCTCTCCGTGAGCTGCTGACATCGCGATGTTTAGGGCCCATGGTCGTTAACCAGGGGACGTCCTTTCCAGCCCAAGAGCGTCCCTATGGTGAAACGTTGTTGTTGTTGTTGTCGCCTTGCTGCTATGCCACCGTGATTTTTGTAATGGCCACGTTGTCAGATTTATCAGTTGGTGGTGAAATGAATATGCTTTGCATATTCAATGACACGCCAAATATCATGCCTCCTATTTTTTATTCATTATACATAGTTTGTTAATGAACCGATACAAATCCTTAGATACAATACGATACAATTCGGACTTACAGCCCGTTTAAATGCAACCACTCGTCAAGATGCTGTACAATTTGGTGGAATATGTACCAGCAGAGACATGGAGACAACGGAGAAAAGACGCACAGAAACAGACATGGATACACACAAAGACAGAAAGAAAGAGACAGAGAGATACAGGGAAACACCCTTTTCTGTAAGTGGGCTTAGGCAGGACATGACACTAGCCAACTAACGCCTACACGAGTTTAGAGAATTGTGAACTGAAACATCTACACCTTCGTATGTCTCTGTTATTGTGTCTCCTTATCTACCTGTGTGTGTGTGTATGTCTCTTGCTCACGCGGGGGCCTACTGCTGGCCACCCATCCTCTCGCGTGCCGTGCCGGCCTTCATCGGTGCTACTCGCCAATAGCACTTGCCCCAACAGTCTGTTAAGGCTCTTCGGGAATATTTGTTTCTCACGTGGGATTTCAGAGACACGTGTCTTTAAAGCACCCCTGCTTTGCTATAAAGTGGATAAGAGGCATCTGTGGCGAATTCTTCGTTTTGCCCATGGGTTATCTACGCATGTTTTAGCCCACATGAGAGTAACATGGCAGATAACCTCACATATAATAGTATCCACCATATTAGGCCCCCATATCACCACGGATAAGCGGAGATCTCCTGTATGTGTTGTCCAATGCCAAGGTGTCAACAATATGTACCCCCCTGGGCTGTCCCTCGATATTGAGTGATACTTTATGATATCGGCTGTCTCAACGTGTCACGGTGTCAGAATCGATTTGCATTACCATGTAGTCTATAGCCCAGTTATGGTATCAGTACTTCCAGGATCACTAGGTCAGTATAGCATTACAGGAAGGTTTTTCTAAGTTGTTTACAATCTTTGGCGTGACCCAAAGTTCACGAGAAATGCAAGTATTGGGTGGGGGGGGGTGTCCCTCTTCACCTTCTGAGTGAACAAAGGGAAGGATTCCAGCATCTGCCAGCGGTAGATGGTGCACGTTGAAGGGCCTGGGAGACGCGACAAGAATTCGCGGACTGCGCGCCGTGGCGGGAGTTGGCGTCGCGACGCAGAGGCGCACCTTGTGTCCCGTCCCTCGCTCGCTCGGCTGGCGAGTGGAGTATTCCGCACCTGGCTGGCACATCGCCGACGGGAGCGCTAAGTGTGATGCCCAGATAATTACAAGGCGGCTTCAGGTGCGCGGTGACTAATTCTGGGAAAACCTGGCTCATTGGCGACGTATATCAATCGCTGTGTTATCCACACACCCCATCAATTAAAAATACAATTCAATTAAAAGTTTAATATCCAAGTCGCTGTGGCGAGATGATCTCTCTCTCGCCTACTATGCAGGAGGTTGTGAGTGCAATCCCGACCCTGATGCTTGTATATTTGAAGTTCGGATGTTCTCTCTCTCTCTCTGTGGTGGTCATATGTATTTTTCTCCTGGTCCTCCGGTTTTTCCCTCCGTCATTTCAAAATAACACATGCTTAGTTCTAGATTATTTGTGTGGTGCTACCATCCACTGGCTGCATTACAGCTCTGCAGGATGCAATGATTCTCACACACACGGTGATGGTTGTGTGCTCCATCAACCTACATCGAAAGCGTTGTAGTACACTTGAGCGCTGCCACGTGTAGCCAACTGAATAAGACTGTGTATGAGTCTCCACATCGACCGTCAAACTGCATGTCCCCACAGAGCGCTCCGTAGCCACACCTCGCCATCATTGAGGTTTCCACAGTCTTGCCAAATTGAAACTGCGCACAGACCACTGTGAGGAGAACACTCATGCCAGCGTCTGGGTGTGAACTCAGTTGAGATTTTTGAGATGGGAGGGATACGTGGATCATTTTCTCTGAGAGGCAGTCCAAGATTGAGTCATTCTTGAGTCCTCTTTGGGAGGCATGACACACGACGTAAATTATATGTTCAGTTAAATTAATGAAATGACCCCTTTCTAAATGTGTCTGCATTATATATTGCCTTTGGCATCCATATGCAGGGCTAAACGTATTTAGGATGCTCCAATAATGTCCAGGTGATGAGAATGGAAGAACATGTGACTGACAATTGGAAGCAGACCCGTCCTGAGGATGCGGCGAATCGGGACGACTGCCCCGGGCCCCGCGTTTTTGGGGGGCCCGGCGCTTCGACGTCTCGGTGTCAGATGTAATTACTGCCGCTTTAGTTTGAAGGCGTCGAAGTTGGAGCGCAGAGTGTGATTTACCCTGGGCCCGGTACCCCCCTATGGACGAGCCTCATTGGAAGTTCAGATACTGGTGAGATCTCAACTCCGCCCATCATCTTTTCTGCACCTTTAAACGGGCGCAATAAAATAAACAAGATTTGTCCCATATAGAGGCTGGTCCTTACCATTGGAATGTGGAATTTCCATCACCAACTCAGGGACCAGTGATGGAGATGTACACCACCAGAATGCACATTTGAAATTGAAGACATTTGAACGTTGATTCAAAAATACCTAAGCTTAATGTTCCATTACAGAACAACCCCAGAAGTGATGTCACAGGCTTGCAATTAACATACTGAATAAAAAAAAATTACAACCAAAGAATAGCTCACATTTCAAAATGTATGTCTTAATTTCCTCAGAGCTGGCAAGAGTGGGGGTCACCATTTGTGACTGCACTGCATCTATCGAACCTGAGACACTTGATAACATGGGATTGCCTTGGGTGGGAACCTGAGATTCAATGCCAGGATCTCAGCTCTGTTGAAAAACAAAATCCTCCACAAGCAAACCTTCTAAACTTTTAAGCCATGTTCGAAAAATCATTATTAATTTTGGAAAATATTTGTTGCCCATAACACGTGGAACACGAGCGCATCTGCGTTACATTAATTTGCTGTGTTTTTAATACTGGATATGGTTCATAGGATTGTTAAAGACTTATCTAATAAATTTTCATTTAGTTTGGAGCTAACCAAATGGTTCAGCTATCCGAACCAGGGCTGTCCTCTATTACTCCAGCTGGCCGCAATTTTACTGTACGTTTCAAATTCCGATATCTGTGGACGAAATTATAATCACGGTTGACATACATTTACCTATCAATGGAGCTCTGTTCATATGGAAATGTCTTCATTTTGCACGACATTGCTTCTTTCTTGCGCTTTGTCTTGAGCTCGTATATTGCATGCTCATTTTTTGTTACCCAGGTCTCCCTTGAGACTTTGTTGCCGGGCGTGCACCGCCACACTCCGCTTTGCCGCGACCACCCCGACCCGATCGCCCACGGTCGGAGCTCACCGACGTTGCCCGACCGTTTGAGTGCTCGCACGTGCGCACCCGCTGTTGCCGATGGCTTTGTACTGCAGAGTAATAAATATAATTTTATATCCGGGCCTTTATAAATCCACTGCTGGATGAAGGCCTCCCCATGCCGCACCGGCAATGGGGGTTTTGGTAAGTGTACTTCGCCGCGGTGCTCTGTGCCGGGTGGAGAAGTCGGCGGGGCCCAGGACTGGTTTAGACCACACTCACCACTGACGTTATCAGTGGCCAGGAATCGAACTCAGGTTTCTGGGCTCATAGCGCAGCGCGTTCTCCATTGTGTCACCGCCGCACCCCATATTACGATTACAGTACTTGAAGTGCTGAAAGGGGTGTATTGTGATTAATATTGAAAAGCTAAATATAATATAACAATACTGCACGTAATAATATAACAATACTACACAGAATAATATAACAATACTGCACAATATAATATAACAATACTGCACAATATAATATAACAATACTGCACAATATAATATAACAATACTGCACGTAATAATATAACAATACTGCACAGAATAATCTAACAGTACTGCGAGGTACTGAATTATAAATGGGTGTAGTTCACGGAATCAGAACAGCATTACCACGTTTAGCCACTCGGCACACCTTTGTGCATTAAAAGCTAGGGTTTCATTTTAAAACTAATGGTGAATTATTCCCGTTCCAGCTGCCCAGTGTACTCCGATCTCATTAAAAGGAGCGTTTCCAATTAGTTCTAGATTTGAAGTTTTCGTGACTGCAAGAATCCATACTCTTTGGTTCTTTCGGTAAAGTCACGTAGGTGAAAATAAAAATAACTAAATTAAATCACGACGTTTCGGAGGCAACACAAGCTTCCGTCATCAGGTGGGACAACCACAGCAACAAAAAAACAGAATTACTGTATCAATTCTGTTTTTATACTGTAGTAATTCAGTTTTTTTTTTTGCTGTGGTTGTCCCACCTGATGACGGAAGCTTGTGTTGCGCCCGAAACGTCGTGATTTAATTTAGTTATTTTTATTTTCACCTACGTGACTTTTCCAATTAGTGTTCAGGACTTTGCTGAACACACACATTATATTTCCCCCCCTCCGTCTAAATCCAAACCAGAGGTGACTTCAAAGGCAAACGGTCCATATGGACATACGTGCCATGCGAGTTGCGAGGCTGCCGAACACTTCAGCATAAAGGGGGCCCTTTCATGGTTATTGGCTGCGCCGCATCTGGGGAGGGGTGCGCGCGTGCATGACTGAGCATGAAGAGCTGTCACCCACTTAATGTACTTGTGTCAGAGAAACATTGTCTGGATTGTACCTGCCAAGTCGCCACACCCTTTCAAGGGAATAAGAAGCCATCTTGTTGTTGGAGTTAAGGTTGCAACTCCTGATTGCTCGCTGCGAGCGTCTGTGTTTGTTAAGTTTTTCTTGCTTGCCTGAGTGGGCTATTATCACAGTTTCCGAGCAATATGTCAACGTAGATTTTAGCAAGTTTCTAAAAATGCTGCGGCAAGATTGTTGTACTAATCTGTTGGCACTAGCATGCTACCCTTTTGTTAAATAGCCCACTCACCTAATCTTGTCTAGATTTATAAAGTGCCTTTTCCGAGGCGCTATACAGAAATTATACAATTGTACGTAGCATGATTACGATTTGAAATTAAGAATTGGGTTATTGTAGGTGGCGGTGTAGTTTTAATGACATCTCATTCAGTTGTAACTTTTGTACAATCTTCAAACTTCATCAGGCGTTTATTTCTATAATCTGGAATGGTATTCCAACAAGTTACTTGACCTTTATTCAACAAAGTGAGAGCCCATTGTGCTGCATCGTCAATTTTTCAAAGGAAACGAGGGTTACCATAGGTAATGGAGAGCGGTACTTTTCATCACGTGTTTAGGAGATATATGACTGTTTAGAATCATTTATATGCATTCGAATACCTGGAGGGGAGGATGGGCTATGGTGCCAGACTCTTGCAGTTGCAGAGACGGGGGGAGCCGTTAGCATTTTTTGGGCGTGTTTCTGGCAGAGTCTTGTAAATGAACTCTAGATTTGAAGTTTTCGTTATTGCAGGGATCCATACTTTTTGGTTCTTTCGGTAAAGTCACGTAGATATAATTTATTTTGTTTTAAATCTTGTAAATAATTTTGCCTTTTAACTGGTAGATTTTTCACAGGCATCGTTCCCATCCCCAGATTTAGAGCAGACTTAGCATATCCGGCAAAAGTGGTACTAGTGAAAGTGGTACTCGTGACGAATTGGCCACTTTCTGTTTACGTGACAACCCTTACTAGTTGGCCGTGTCGGGTGGTGGCGGGTTTTAACGACACATTTATATATTTACGCGATCTAACCCAAAAAAAGCCTGTTAGGGATGAATCTTAACTTAAAGCTTTCTTGACTGCAGGAATTAATATTCTTTGGGTCTTTCGGAAAAGCCACGTAGATAGAAAAAAATAATAAAAATAATAACAATATCACGACGTTTCGATCTTATGGATGGTTCTAAGCAATCGGCAAGGGCAGGCTTTGACAACAACGATGACGATGCCAGAAGCCAGTGGGTTGGTGCTCGTGCCTCTCAAGGCCATGCACTACTTCAGTCTTGTGCTAATGCACTGGGACATTCACTCACTCTGCCGTGAATCCCAAAGGTGCATTGTGTGTGTGTGTCTCTAGAGCGTGACAATGATTGTCAAACATTGTGTGGAGGCTGACGGACTGCATGTTTTCTTGGTGGGGTCTCGGACTGTGTTTTGGTTGTGGGTTTTGCTGACCTTGCCCAAGCCTGCATTTAGTGTAAAAAATCGGCAGGATTTATTTATGTTAAGTGACTTGCCTGCCTTTCCGATAATTAATTTGCACTTTGACAGTTTTTTTTGCACTCCTATTGTTTGTTGTTGTTGTAACTTTTTTGACCCGCCTCTACTGGACATCTGTGAAAAAGAGCTTCACAGCTCATCAGATTCGTCCGGTCTAAATAAAGATGCCGAGTCTACTGTGTTTGCTGCACCTCGGCCCTCGGGGATCTCCCACCAGGGGTAGATGGATTCCCATGATGTGAATGACATCAATAAAGTTGCACGCTGAAATTATATCTTTAGAACGTTTATTTTGAAGCTGTGTTACTTTACCTAACAAACCAAATTTGTTAAGTAATTAAGTATATACATTCGGAAACATTCTCTTTCCTTGCAACGCAGTTGGCAGTTGCATTTCAATACAATTCCACTCAGTAGTTTTTGTAGACAATCATTGAAGTCTGTTGCACTTTCCACGTGTGTACCCGCCACAGCTCAGCGTCTTGTGTATATTTGCATATCGACGTAAAATGTATTCGCATTTTAAATAATTACAGGCAAACACGTTGAGTGAGGTGGCAACATCACGTCCATTTGGTATTTGGTTTCAAGAAATGGACCTTTCTACTCCTATCAAGTGCACTACAATTATCCATCAGACAAAATAAGTAAATTAAAATTCAGTGTCGACGCTCACAGGTGTCCATGAGTGAATGCTTTTCAGGTCACGCATGGCATCGTGCGTGGCCGCTCTTGTCTTGTTATGCACCGCGTCACGCTTGGCCGCTCTCCATTCGCAGGCAGAAGAGGTCCCTGCAGCCGAGTCTGCTGATGGGCAACTCGGACATCTCCAGCGACGAGGACGACGACGATGATGCGGGCGGCTTGGATGCCAGGGGCTACGACCAGTCTCTACGATCCAAACTCATCGCCGAGGGGGAGCTCAAGCTGAGCTCTTGTTGACGGTCAACTTGGCCTGCCACGTCGGCCCCTCTGCCAAACTCCCAATGTCTATCACCGGTGTGTGTCCCCTTTGCCTGTGTTGTTACCACAGTGCTAGCACACCCGGGTCGTGGTCTAATGCGCAACGTTCAAAGCTGCATCCACGTGTGCGGGTGGCCACGCAATGCAAAAACCGATGAACGAGTTTTCTTTTCGTGAAGTCACTAAAGCATCAACTTATTATATTCTCTGTGTATGACTAGAATACATTGAGTAGCTGGGAAACAAAATAGCAGGTGTAAATGACTGAAAATCTTTAATCACTAAAGTTAAACCTATATTTAAACTTTCAATTGACTTACCTTAATGATCACTACTCTTAAAATACATGAATACACAAATGTATATATAGTGCTGTGTATAAAAGTGTTGCACTGATAGTGGTTAGCGCACTGTGCTATTAACCCAATCCTCAGCCACAGCTGACGTCAGTGGTGAGCGATATCGGAACTGATTGTGGGTTACCCCCCTTAACCAGTCCACTGATCAGTATGGTGAAGTATGGTCAAACAAACCCCGTGACGACATGGCATGGAAAGGCCTTAATTCAGCAGCACATTAATGAGGGGCCGTACATTATTCTTAGTTTGTGCACAAATCACAAAGGGGACCAGACTGTTGCTTGGGAGACAAATAGCCATGCTAAAAATGATAAATGGTTTCCCCCCTCTCCTCTGTGTGTGTAATGTGGTCCTGTCGTAGAGTCTCAATCCTTGCCAAACAAACTTGTCAAGGGCGTTTGCCACATTGGTCGTGAACGTGGCGCATGGGCGAACAAGATTGCATCTGAGGCTGCGCAGAGCTGTGTGGAGGGGTTTTGCTTTGGCGATGCTGGGCCTCCGAGCCTATGACGAGGGGGGGCCGAGTGAGATCAGGCCACGGGGAGAGGAGGCATGCCTGTGTGGTTTGCTCATTGTTTACAATGAGCCCCACGTGTTTGTTTAAATTGATGGTTTAAGAATGCACACAACAATCAAGATATTTGAATGAAATATGTCCACGTGTCTGTTTGTCCACTGCAGACTTTGGCGTAGTGCCAAGCAGCACTGTATACAGAAAAAAAGTCTTGAGTGTGTGCACCCAAACAACAAGGAAATGAGAATCGGATGAGTAAAGATCTGCTTATCCGCTGCAATGCTTAGTGTTGTAGGAAGCAGCACGCACTACTAGCGCCAACCAAGCCTTGTAGACTTTTGGCAATATTCCCGTGTGGATGCGTCATGATTCCCTGCAAGTGATCACATGAAGTTTAACAGGATACCATACCTTATTTCATGTAGGCATGTACACGTAGGATGGTGCTGTAATAAATGGCGATGAACAATGCCATTTGTTAATTTTTTTAATTTCAAGATGAGACTTGAGCGAATATTGTTTCAAGTGAGAGTTGTGTCCGTGCCTAAGGCTACCGGCGTTTGCTGCCAAGTTCATTGCAAGATCTCCCCCCACCCGTCGCCATGACGGCCGTCACGTGGTGCCGGTGACAGCGAGTGTAGCTGCCACCTACACGTGCCAACACCAAACACTTCACCTGGGACAGGTTTCTTGGCAGTAAGGAATCGGACGCAATACTCGGTACTTTGTCAGTTGCTTTTGTAGTTTTAGATAAAAACTGTGGTACTGCACGTGAGCTTAATCTGCCATGCCTAAGTTCCACATCCTCGTGCTAATTGGCACCACGAAGTTGACATGTTCACGAGTTCAAGTAGCACATCGTTAATAATGTACAGGCACGATCGTCTTTTCTTAAAATACTGCCAGGAGCAGCAGCCATTTTATTTTAACGAACTCTGCACCCACAGTTACCTTAACAGCCGTCCATTTCTTATCACAGTACGTGTTTTATAACAGTAGATGTTTTACATGCACGGTACATGTTTTAAAATATATTTTTAATACGTAGGAATTAAAAGTCGGGTCATTTTAGATGACGCGAATCGATCGTCAAAGTGAGACGTTGGTCTGATGAAACGGCTGCCTTCTCAATTTGCTTTGGAGTGCACGGAACTCTAATTCGCTCCCAATGACATGGGCATGATTAACGTTCCACAATTAGCTTACATAATATGAATTCACGCCGGCTTTCTGACGGTAAATCAGCCATGTTGTGTGACACGATGGACTTCGCATTGCGATGGCAAACCCAGCAGAGCGCTGCGTTTCTCAAACTGGCTGCGAGAGATGCATTCAAGCCATGGACGGCAAGCGGTGAGAGAGCCCTCGCAAAATACCGCTCGCCTGTGTGACTGCTCCTCCAGCCCTTGGTTACAAAACCGCAGCCTTGCATGCATGCAGAATCAGTCCAGCCTTGCATGGACCACCCATCCCTGAGCCATATCAATGGAGTATATGCACTTGAGCTTTAACAATCAATGAACACACAACCATACATGTCCTCGTTTTAATGCGGCAGCCGGGCTGCTCTTCTCATGAGTGTCCTTTTGTAATCGAATCACTTTGAAAAGCAATGATGTGAATGGCATCATGTGGGGTTTTATATCTGCTAGTCTTCGTATCAGGGTCACTCGCTGAATTTGTGATATTTGAAACATCGCCTAATTGCCTGTGTTTTTGTGTACGTGTACCATCCACTGCTTGCGTTGATTGTGTACCGTAGGTGGTTGAAAGTTTAAGTGGACCAAACGGTTGTTGATGGTGGGGCTTGAATCAAGCTACCCCATTAAACAAGATTATGAATATCAGCTTTCTAAATATTAGATGGGTATTTTAAAGTAATTTTGCTCCGTAAAAATGTGCCGTACACACGTTTAAAGTTACGCGTGATTCCTGTGCATTCGATGCACTTTCGTGACCTGTTAAATACGTGTGTAAAGCATCGGCAAGGCAAATATAACACATGGTCAGCTCAAGAGCAGAATCATATGTTTGGCGAGAGGATAATTGCAGTTGCCTGTAAATGTTGTACTCAATATTGAGATAAAAGCAGGGGTTTGGAAATAGTGGCGTAATTTAAAAGCCCCCCAAAATTCTCCTGAGCGAGCTCGGCTCCTGGAGCTGAGAGAGTCCACGGAGTGGCGTGGTTCTGGCTCGGACACAATTCTGGACAAAGTTATTGCCTAGAGCATGGTGTACTTTGTGTTTCTTCGATTACCCCGCTCTGATTGTGCAAGCTTTCTGTAACCCCCTCACTGCTTTTGGTATGGACTGCGATGGTGCAGTGGCATGTTAATGTGATTACGCGATCGCAACTATGCTCACAAGAGGGGCCCAAGCTCGAACAGAGCCCTGGAAATAGCTCCTAATAGTAATACCCTTGGGCAGCATTTCTCACCGTGACCTTGAATTTAACTTGATGAAATCATAAACGAACGTGTAACGATGATTAAATAGTTGAATGAAGAAAACTGAAAAGCCGCACTCAAGATTAATACGAGAAAAACGAACGTTTGCTTAATCTTTGCTAAGCAGCGAAGATGTCTGTCAGAGGGGAAACGCATCCAGAGGTTGTATGCCTCGGTACCGAGGACAGCTATTGAGTCGGACTGGGATCAAAACTGTGAAATAAAGAGGTGAACGAGAGCAGGTTGCAGCACTGTTGGAAATTCAATGTAATACTGTACCTTGTATGTAATATCTTCTAAGTAATACCTTGTATGGCATTACAGTACTTAAAAATGACACTGGCAATATCTAAAAAGAGCAAAAATGCACACACACAAGCGTGGAGCGGTGCATGCTGGGAAATTCACTGAGGATCACACGGATCGGATAAATCGCGCAAGTTGGACATAATTCTAACTTCTAACAACGAAGTGGGCTTGGGCAGGAGACACACCACTCGCAGCGATGGTGGCGATGTTGTTAGGAGCGAGGACCGTAGCGGCCAAAGAAGTAAGAGGGGAATGATTGGAGGAGTGTGGGATTGTTGCATTGTGGGACTAAGAGAGATGAATTGGGGAGGCCTTCAGCCAGCTGTGAATAAATCATGGCTGCTGCTGATGATGATGAATAAATGTCGATGTTGAGACAACCATTATGATCCTGACACGAAAAGACCACAAGTCTTAAAACGTAACCTTAGCGTTACCACGAACCTAAGGGGACGTCCATAAATGACGTCACGCACCTGGGGGGGGGGGGGGTGAGAAATGTGACGTCACATCAAAATGCGCAACTTTAAATAAATATAGACAACACGTTCTGCTTAATTAAATAGACTTTTTAATCAATGTTTTCTCATACAACATCAGAGTGCAGCGCCACATTAAACACGCACTACAATGACAGTAGTTTAAAGCGATTTGAAGCATGTTTTTTTGGGGGGGGGCAGAGCTTTGTGACGTCATATTTGAGGGGGGGGGGGTCTGACTTTTTGTGACTCCGTGTGACGACGGTGGGGGTGGGGGGGGTAAAAAATCTTCCAAAATCGCGTGACGTCATTTATGGACGGCCCCTAACCAGGCATAACCCCCAGAACTAACATTTACCTCACGATACGCCCTCCTTATATGAAGGGTTCCCATTCTAAAGGCAGGGTACCAACTATAGCATTGATCTGGTTTTCTCGCCGTACCGCGTCTTCTAATTTCAAATCGATGCAGTCATCTTGTCACCCACGAACACTGGAACTTGACTGTCAATGTCCTCTCTAGACAGAGCGACTTACTGGGTTTTTAACGTCATCCTTTTATATGGAATTCTTACTCAAGTGTGCCTTGTATCAGAGGGGACTTCACGTTTTGATATTCAGTGCCTTTTCGATTATGACAAATAATGCAGTGAATACATTATACACACTTACAATGGGTGTATATATACACATGTTTAACAGTTGATTCACTAATGTGTGCTGTCTCGTATGACGTTTAAAAGGAAAATGTTTGCTGGGCGCGGTGGGGTGGGGGAATTCACTGTGATTATGGGATAGGATGATGATGGTGGTGGTGGTGTGAAGGGGCAGGGTTGCGATGAGGAGTTCATTTATTGGGACCAATAAATGCGTTGTATATTTTTACTCTTTCCAATCTCGTCGTCGTCATCATAATGTCTACCTCGTGTAATAAAACATAGAATAGTTTCACAGTCCAAATCATTTTTAGATTTAGAGCTTTCGACTGCAGGGATTCATATTCTTGGTTCTTTCGGTAAAGTCACGTAGAAGGGAAACAATATAATAATAAAAATATAAAACAATAAAATGTTCACGACGTTTCGACTGCAACACAAGCAATCATCATCAGGTGTGAAATATTTTTTTCAAATGTTCTTGCTGTGGATTTCACAGTCCAAATCATGTTCATACTTTGTTTGCTGCTTTAGTGCAAAGCATGAGAAAGAATGTAACCTGCGGTTTATGTTTCAACTTAGTGCAACACATTACCAGACCTGCTTTTGTGTGCCCGAGGCGGTTCACGCGTCTGTCTGATTGGGTTTGTGTGTGGCGAGTGGAAATATGTGTGGGTTGGTGGCGTGTGCGTGCTTGCGTTGCGAGTGGGATTGTGCTCTGTCCTGTGATCTCAGCGTTACAGGTTCGCTTCCTGCCAATGTACACCACTGGTTTTCGCTATCCGAGTTAACATCCAGGCCACAATCTAGATCCACTCGGTGTAAACTGCATTGCTGGTTCAACATTCTTGCTCGCCTTAGCCCCCGGGCCACCCGTATAGCGAACGATGTCATAGGCGGCCATTGTCCCCACGCGCGCCTCGTGTGCCACATGCCGACCTACATCGTGCTCGCATAACATCACTTTTCCCCAAGGGTCAATCCAGGCTAAAACGTCTCGGTGCCAGTGTGTGTGCGTGCGTCGTCGGGAAAGAGTTTGGGGCCCTGGTGCTGCGCACGTGTAGCTGGAACGAAAACCGGCGCTGAGAATTGGGGGCCTGGTGCCGAATCTCAACATCGGCATTGAGGGAGGAGATGGCAATTCTGGCCTCACCCAGCTACTGGATGTCGTGTCGTTAGTCTCAATAGGGTCGCCTGAGCAGCAGTTGTCTCGCGGGCTATAAGAGAACGCTGGTCAAGTGTAGCAGCATGGGGGAGTGTAGTGTGTAGGGGCATGATGGGTGTGTAGTGTGTGTAGGGGCATGATGGGTGTGTAGTGTGTGTAGGGGCATGATGGGTGTGTAGTGTGTGTAGGGGCATGATGGGTGTGTAGTGTGTGTAGGGGCATGATGGGTGTGTAGTGTGTGTGTAGGGGCATGATGGGTGTGTAGTGTGTGTGTAGGGGCATGATGGGTGTGTAGTGTGTGTCGTGCCATGGTGGGAGTGTCGTGTGTGTAGGGGCATGGTGGGTGTGTAGTGTGTGTAGGGGAATGGTGGGTGTGTAGTGTGTGTCGTGCCATGGTGGGAGTGTAGTGTGTGTAGGGGCATGAGGGAGTGTGTAGGGGCATGATGGGTGTGTCGTGTGTGTGTGAGCCTCTGAGTGGAGGTCACGATAATAGACTCCGACTGGAGCTAGCCTAGAATTCCAGGTTGAGATCTTGAGTTTGTATAACCAGCTGAGAACTCAAGAGACCAGGGGGCAGTCGCATTTGAAGAGTTACCCGGGTCATCGAAATAACAAAAGCAAATGAAGTACAGCAATGAAGCGATCAGAAATCAAAGCAAAACACAACGGTAACGCAAGAAATGTAATTTATTGGCAAACATATGTACGTTGAACTTCTATCGCACCGTACGTAGCCGACCGTGCTTATCGGAGGTGCGGGGGAAGGATAGCAAACTATCCACAAAAAAAAGCATTGCTCAAGAAATTAGTTTTAAATGTAGATTTAAAAGTGCATAGCTCCAGTGGCTTCCTAACATCGGAAGGAAGAGCGTTCCAGACGGCCACATGAGTGCAGTTGAAAGCGCGCAACGCAGTGACCGTCTTTGTTCAATGTTTAGCAAAAATCCGCTGCGAGGATGACCGGAGTTCGCGTGATGGCTTAGGCTGCTTGACGAGATCGGCCAAAGTATTGTGATTCATCTGTTAGAAGCATTTTTGTGTGTAATAAGCGCCACCTTCTAACGTATTCGGTCAGCAACCGCAAGGCGATCAAGCTCGGCGAGCACCGGATGGAAACCGTCGGATCTTGTAGGAGCCGTCACGACACGTGCCAGATAAATGTTGCACACGCAGCAGCTTACTCGCGTTTTTGTCAGACGTTCCGTATAGTAGCGAGTTGCAATTTTCGAGCCTTGTCAATACTATTGTAATGAGAGTAGAGCTAACCTGTAGTGCGAGTGGGCTAGTGGCTACGAGAATGACCGAGAATAGGGGCGTGGCCATGTGATGCAATGGCACAGTAGAGTCAACCTGCAGAGCGAGTGGACTGGGGTCAATGAGAAGGATCGGGAATAGGGGCGTGGTCACGGGATGGGGGGGGGGCACGCACCGTATATAAGGCAGATGCGCGTGTGGGGTCTTTGTCGGTTCGAGGGAGAGCACGTAGCTCCTTAAATAAAGAATCCTTCCTGGACAAGTTGCGTCGTAGTCGTCACTTCACGATGCTTACACGCCGCCGCGTTGGCTGTGTCACGACTTAACAGTGGCCGAATGTGTTCTAAAGGGGCCGTCCATAAATGACGTCACGCGATTTTGGACGATTTTTGACCCCCCCCTCCCTCGTCACACGGCGTCACAAAAATATAACGTCACAAAGCTCTGCCCCCCCCCCCTAAAAATAAAACATGCTTAAAATCGATTTAAACTATTGTCATTGTAGTGCGTATTTAATGTGGCGCTGCACTCTGATATTGTAGGTGAAAACATTTATTAAAAAGTCTATTTAATTAAGTAGAACGTGTTGTCTAAATCCCTCCCCCCCCCAGGTACGTGACGTCATTTATGGACGGCCCCAAAGCCCCGATATGAAAATTGCAGGACCTGTGTTTGGCACGTGAATACCACGTGCAAAAATATAGCCTGAACCCTGGAGTCTGCGATCGCCACATCTGGATCCTGCCACTAAATAGTGTCACCTGAGCCCGAGTGCCAGTTCCAGTTCAGTTTCAGTTCATTTTGAAGTACTCTGTGAGCTAAGACGCTCTTGAGTCGGTTTTCATCAATAACAACACCGCGTTTCCGTGACAGACATAACACCAACCAGCCGACGAGGACACGACGACGTCAAATGCAATCGCAAGTGAAGTTCACAAATAATCGACAGCTCAGCATGACATTGCGACCTTAGGATGGGAGAGTGATCAACATTTTTTAAGCGATTTCCAGGTGTTGGTGGCATTCATAGAGAATGAGTGAGAGCCCTGTGAGTTGTTTTGTCCTAGGCACAATGCACTCCCGTGTAGTGGAGCCGCTAGGACCTCGCGTGTTTTGGATCCTGAATAAACACCGATTGAGTTGTGTGTGAGTGCATTAACGATGAACTTTGCCCAATGAATCTCCCTCTGATTTGACAGGAGATGATAACCAGTGTTGTCGCAAAGATCACAGTCACGAGTGGAATTGTTTGTAAGATGTAACGTAAGTCGAAATTTAAAAAGAGAATGTAGCTAATCCAAAGTGTGTTGAGATTGGTATTCGTGTACTAGCTTGTAAGCCCGTCCTTGAACG